ATTTTTTGCCTTGATTCGAAGACAATTCGGAAACCACGTGCCATGAGTATGACGGTCACGTACCTAGTATCTGCACGTTAGCATCGACGTAGCAAGAAATTACATAGACGTAAAACTAGCACGGGGAAATTCACAGCAACCCGAAATTTGGCATTTCCAGGAGAAATTAGTGTACATACATCTAGCGTCGTCGTGATAATTAAGAGCTGAACTTCAAGGAAATTTAGATTGATTTCATCTGGTTAGGAAATTATAAAGTAAACAATAAACATTTAAAAATGTTTTAGAACTAAAAATTGAGAACATCGTAGAACTAAAAATTGTTAGAAATAAGGAATGTTTTCCCAGTGTTCGAAACAAGGGTCGGCAGATCGTTCTAACTAAAGGAATTACGGCAATTTTCTTGGCGACTACGATTTAACCAACTTCGTCCTCTCAGGAGTAATACGTAATATTACAGGCTGGTTCGCGACACGCGAAAAGCGATTTGTCTCCGGAACTGAGAACTTGGCACACTTGCCAGCGGAAACTCGTGGGCCAATGGAGAGAAAAAAGCCTCAAATATTGNCACGATTCGCAGGCAATTTGGAGGCTAGGTGACACAATTCGAAGGCAATTTGGAGGCCACGTGATACGATTCGCAGGCAATTCGGAGAACACGTGACACGATTCGAAGGCAATTCGGAGAACACGTGACACGATTCGCAGGCAATTCGAAGGCCACGATCACATATCTAGTAATCTACCACGTACAATAGTAATCGACCCTTAGCATGGACGTAGCAATAAATTACATAGGCGTAAAACTAGCACGGGGAAATTCACAGCAACCCGAAATTTGGCATTTCCAGGAGAAATTAGTGTACATACATCTAGCGTCGTCGTGATAATTAAGAGCTGAACTTCAAGGAAATTTAGATTGATTTCATCTGGTTAGGAAATTATAAAGTAAACAATAAACATTTAAAAATGTTTTAGAACTAAAAATTGAGAACATCGTAGAACTAAAAATTGTTAGAAATAAGGAATGTTTTCCCAGTGTTCGAAACAAGGGTCGGCAGATCGTTCTAACTAAAGGAATTACGGCAATTTTCTTGGCGACTACGATTTAACCAACTTCGTCCTCTCAGGAGTAATACGTAATATTACAGGCTGGTTCGCGACACGCGAAAAGCGATTTGTCTCCGGAACTGAGAACTTGGCACACTTGCCAGCGGAAACTCGTGGGCCAATGGAGAGAAAAAAGCCTCAAATATTGAACTTCCGTTACCCCATGCTCTCCGGGCTGCTCGTGTTTCCCTAAAGAGTTTGCCTCATTAATTAATACCGCAGGGAAATATCGTAATTTCCCTGGATCCTGCTCGAACTTCCTTGGCGATCTTTACCACTTACGTTTCTCTACCTCGATAATCCGTGGAGATATGTTTTAACAGAGAAAAACGTTCTCTTCGGGCGACTTCTTTCGCAAACGTTTGTCAACGCCGTTGCTAAATTTTCATACACGCGTTCACCAAAGAATCTCCTTCTTAAATATTTATTTATATGTACACAAATGTAATGTTGCAATGGACGGAGTAATAATTTACATAAATATCCGTAGTTCAATTATTTGGTGAAGTGATTTGCCCACTGAATGAACATTCATTTGACAAAATTTTCGAAGTACAGCAATTTCTCCCAGAAATGTTCGGAGATAGGAATTGCAACTGACAGATCTGAGGATACTAAGTTGCGCTAAGGCACAATTTTTATAGAAACTCGGGGTAGCCGGCAAAAAAGGCGGCGGTCAGAATGCCGGTATATATTAACAGCAATAAATTACATAGGTGTAGGACTAGCACAGAGAAATTCACAGCAACCCGAAATTTGGCATTTCCTGGAGAAATTACTGTAACAATTTTTAAGCTAACTAAAATCTGAAAAAGCATATTCTGCGACAACACCGGAAGACACAGAACCTTCCTTCGAATGAAATAGTCACCCAGAAGCTATCTATCATCGAAAAACTCGACAGCGATCAACTATGCATCGTCCGGTGTTCCCGAACCAGCAGTCAGGCGAAATTCCAGGCTGCCAGTTCCTTAGCGTTATTAGATCCTCAAGGTTCCCGGGCACATAATAACCCCTTAATTAAGAGCATCGTGTCGGTGCACCGTGCGAAGAAAAACAGGGGGGTGAGAACCGCTCGGCGAGGGTAGCGTGAGGCGAAGCGGGAATCGACACCGCGTTCAAAATCGAGTAACGACCGGTGCCGAAGTGCGCGAGGAGTAAATTGCGTCGATCTCCCTCTTCGTCCGCCAGATAAAAAAACGAAGAAAAAAGAAGAAGGAAAACAAAAGGGTGACGATTCCCGTTGGCTTTTCTGCCCCTCTTTGGAGCGCCGTTGAGGGGGGTGGGGTCGAGAGGGGACGGTCGTGGTGACGGCAAGGGCTGAATCGTCGCGTTCACTGACGTTTTATACGTCGTCGGGTTTCATGCGGCGGCGGTAATTTTTTTATTAGCTTGAAAACCACTCGACTCGTCGTCGTCGACGTCCTCGGCGTCGCCGTCGTCGTCGCTCGTGGTCGTAGCCATCGTTGTGTCGCCGGTAGTCGGTGAAACTCGCCCCCATAGGGGCTGAAAAAAAATTCGTCCGTCCCTCTCTCCATCTCTCCATCACCCTGTATCTATCTTTCTCTCTCTTTCTCTTTCTCTCTCTTTCTTTCTTTTCCTCCTCTTCTGCCTCCCCACAGCCCTTCGTCGCCCTCTCTAGCCCCGTCCGCCGAAGCCCGTTACAACCCTCAACCGTCGAACAGTCAAAAGAACCACGCGTTCATTTGACTTATTAAGTAGTTTTGTACGAATTAAGAACGTGTCGCTTTGTTGTGGCTCGCCCTCCGGTATTGTTCTGTTCTCGCGAGCTTATTCCGCTCGGTTCTGGCAAGAAGCACGCCGCTGAGAAACCTTGGGAAAGCCTCTGACGGGCCGGTTCCTTTTTCCAGGCCACCGCGAGACGCTTTAAGGGTTTGTTTGTGCGCCCGCTGTTCTGGAGCCGCGACTTTATTCAGGAGGAGAGGCTTTGCCTTGAGAAATGTAATGCGAGGCCTTTGAACGGGCGGCGCTGAATGATCGGCGAACAGTAGACGGATTTTGTGGCATTGATTATACAGCAACCTGGAGCAAGTTGATAGGACGAACAGCGATTTGATATTCGCTGCCCTTAATTGGCAAAATATGTCTTTAGGTATTCGCTTTGGTAGCATTTTTTAGGTACCTGTTTGAGCCACTGCGCTTCCTGGAAATCTACTTGTGGAATAAGTTTTTAATAATCAGTTTTATTAACAACTATTAACTTTCTAATCGTGGGCAAGTTTATGATGAAAAATAAATAAACAGAAAAATAAATTTTTGTAATTTTAAATTTGAAATCTTTTAATTTTGTTTTCGTTGTTAAATTTTACAAAATTAATTCCCTAAAATTCAACATTATTATATGGATTCAAAATAATAGATGTTTGCAACTACGAATTTATAGCTTCTAAAACAATGGATCTACTCTGATATATGAAGTGAAATTTACAAATTGCAATTGTGACTAGAAATGATGTAAAATTAAAAAACATTGTTATATCATTATTCCTAAATTACAGTGAGTTATAAAAGGTTAACGCGTTTCTTTACACACTATAATGAAAATTGCATGAGCTCTAAACAAATTTAATTTTTTACTTTTTATAAAGATAGTTTAGTCCTTATTAATGCTACTATAAGTTTCGCATTAAAAATTATCGTAAAAAATACCCAATAATCTGCTTTCAACTCCATATATTAATTCAAAGCATAATTATAGAACAAATTTACTAGATTCAAAATTTCGAATTAACTTATGTTAAAATACATATAAATGATCCGTAGAATAAACTGAATAAAATTTATTAATAGTCCAGTTAAAGTTGTTTAGCAGTCTGTTGCAAGATAAATCGATCCAGTTTATTTTTTAATTAAACCGGTATCCATTTTCATTGTCAAGAAAGGTATTTACATAATTCGAAACGCGTGTGTCGACTTCCGACGAAGCGAAAGTGGGATTGAAATACTTTTAACCGGCAGGTGACGATATTAAGAACTCAAGACTTCGAGCCACCCCTTTCCTGCTCCAGGGGTGGGTAGAAACTCTGAAAGGGCAATAAACTTGTTTCGCGTGCACGCGCCGCTCATTATAATGAATCACGGAAACCTGTGCGATATGGGCGTAATATTCTTCCTGCTGACGAGGTGTATGCATTTATGAACGCCAGCAGTAAGAGAACGGGAATTTTGTGATAAACTTAACGTTCATTCGCTGGAAACTATTACTCAGAACAATAAATATTCGCATGCATACTTTAGGCTATTTAAAATACCTTTGCTTCGCGATTATATAGATAATTTCAATTTATTTAAAAAGAGTTTGTAGTACTTGTATCAATAATTGCTATTATTTTCGGTAATAAAACGAAAAATAATTTGACATTTATAAAACTTGCGCAGAATAAAATGAAATCACACAATTAAAGGATCAAAACTTAGATTTCTTACAAGAATAATTAATATATACCAATCTCGCAAAACAACTCCTATAATTCATTTATATAGAATTTTTACTCAAATGCTCTCTGCATTTCATTATACAATTAATTCAAAATCGACGACTAAAAATATAAATTGAATCTGTAAATATATAAAAATGTGACGAGATGTAACGTAAAATTTTTCGCGAGACATGAACGAATTATTTCGTGTGAGATCGCGGGAACGAAGCGCGAAATAAATTGGGAGAGTAACGAAGTAAAGAATGTTCGGTAAATTCGACAGAAGCAGAAATCGAGGGACTGGTTTAAGGGCTAATATTTAAAGGGAGCGATAACATATCGGCGTATCGGAGCGACAGCCGGAGGATCTCGCTCCTCGCTCGGCATTAATGCAAAAGAAGCCCTTGCCTCCCGGACTGGCAATCACCGACATAAATAAATCGACCTTACCGTCTATTTCTCCCCGTCGGTCTGGGAATCCCTGTATTCGATCAGGCATCGAAATACGTCGGCATAAAAAGGGGAGGAGGAGACCGATCGAGGAGGACCGATTGTTCCACTCGTGCAGATCGGATCTGTCGTTAAGCCACGCTTACTCTCTGCCAATCCCACGGACGATCTGTAATCAGAACGACGTCCGCGATTTATTTCAGCCGATCCAGTCGTTGATACACCGCGTACGCCGCAATATGGACGGACTTTATTACCAATCCTCTAATTTTCGCAATTTAAGCGCACTTCTTGCCGGAACAACTTTAATTAACTCTTCCTCCGATTTTGTGATACGTTAGACTCAGAGTTCTCGATATAAATAGGTACCTTTTTGCTAGACAAAAAGACTGTTCCAAGCCAGTTAGGCGGTCACTTAAATGAAATTATTTTTCATAATTGAAATCGGTAGGTTTACTCTTTTCAGTAAACCAAAAACTTTGAGACATATTAAACGGTATTTTTAAATAGCAATTTCCAATGGAAACCAGTAGATGGATGACCCTGTGGATCTAAAATAATGATCAATGTACCAGTTAAGGGTTAAACTGTAGGAAACATGTACGCGATTAGAGCGTCTTAGGAAATATGTGGTAAAGCAATTATAAAAATTGGGGTTGTCGGTAAATCACTCGAGATCCACACGCGATTTCATTTTAATTTCGGCGCTGTTCTTCGAGGGGATGAAAAGGAGGGGAGCCAAACGAGAGGGAAAGTATCGGGGCGCAGTTCGGAGGAGCGATAATTCATCGGAAGGCGCGAGGCCAAAGTAACGAACATAAATTTTTGTCCGAGGGTGCTCCTCGCGTAGAGAAAACTTGGCAACTCGAGCGGCCGCGTCGGTTAAGGGGGTGGCGGATTGAAACAAGGTAGGAGGTGGTCGGTTCGCAGGTCGGACGCTTAAACACCGGCTCCGTCGTTAGTCTACGAGCCATTACGTAAATTATGTAAGCCCCCGCGAAGACCTCCGAACGGCGAAAGCGTAAACTTTAATCGTCTCCTCCTGAATCAGGGCCGATCAAATTGTTTTTCACCTCTTTCACCGTCGAGAAGCACCCCCTTCGGACTTTTATTCCTGCGTTCTACGGAGGGGAAGTGTGTCTAGCACCACTCGATCCGACCGAACAAAAACACAACGACGGAAAAAGTGCACCGACTGAATCGGCCGGTTCGAGCACCATCATAATAGAAAATAATGTATTAATATTCCGCATTTAATGCCGAGTACCAAAATACTCGTCTCCCATTCTCAAGGGGCCCCGGTTCCCGATATCCTGAATCCCCCATTGACATCGAAGTCGATCGTGAATCGAGCCGGCTTCGTTTCGCTCGCGCTGCCTTTTGCCAGTCCGCACCAAATCACGGGACACTTCGAATAATTCTTTATTTAAACATCGCGAGCTTTCGCGGCGCACGGCTCCTTGAATAATGCAACAATTTCACTTGCAAAATGCACGACCGACGCGACGGCTAGACAAAAATTACGATCATCCGAAGAACCGACCCTTTCTTTCGCTCGATCCGCTTCATTTATCGCTAGACGGAAAATTGCCTTCTCAAAGAATGCAGATTTCTTGAGGTAACACTTGAGCGATAAAATACGCGAAAACTAAATATTCATTTGTTTTTTTAAGAATGTATTCGATACATTACAATTTTTGTAACGACGTTATATTTTATTTTTTGGTTCTCTGGCAAGTTATAGGTCACATCGGGTACTTTTAATTTATCGGGTAAATTAATTCATCTTTCTATATGTAGCAAGTCGGTCCATAAGTTCGTAGATGGATCGTAAATGTTGATTCTTTTTAAATTGGCACACCATAGTTTTCAAAAAATGAATCACTTTATTACGAATTTAATCGTACAGCAAAATATGTCGAAACATGTATTCATTCTTACTAAATCGACACTCCATTGTCTTAAAGAAATTAATCACTTTATTAATCGCGCGGAACGAATAAATGAATAATGGCATAATAGGAGAAAACCAAAGAGTATGAGACGTAACTGTTAAGCAATTATTATGCAGAAAATTTGAATCGAAATTAAAACCATGAACCAATCCGATACAACAATACTACACATAAAATTTGCCACATTCTCATGAATGTGAACAATACAAGCATGAAAGTAGAAAATTTCAAGATATTCAGATCCTCCAAAGAATTTAAATTTCAGCAAGCATTTTCGAACATTCGCAATGGAATCTGCACTGTCATTGTTTCGAAAACGGCATGACAATCTTCGAAATTCGCAAGATCGATGTGCATTCTACGCGAAAGTCAGGTCGCGGCAAGACCGTGCGAATCTCCTCGGCGAATTGATCGCATCCAAACGGACGGAACCCGCTTGACACCTTTAGCATCGGAAAAGTGGAGCGCGATCGCGGGGGATTAATTCCGATTCCATCGGGGGCCGGTCATCGCGCCCACCCTCGCTGCGGAGCGGGGTCGCAAGGGGATGGTTATCGCGTAGCCCGGCGACTTAACTCCCGGCAATTAATCTCCCCGCGCTAATTATTTAGCCGGTTAGCAGGAGTTCCGTGCGGCCGAACTTAGTTCCGCTATCAGATGTAGTAGGGGTAGTTCGAGAAGGATCGCGGGGGGATGAACGGGCGGGGAGAGGGTGGGTTCGATGGAAGGTACGCAAGAGGATGGAAGCTCGACGTGGAACGGGGATGGCTGGGTGTAGAGAGAGGTTGGTTGAGGTTCAGTCGTGCTCAGGAGGATACACGAGGGGTTGAGGCTCGCGCAAGAGTAAATTGATTAGAATTAAAGGGTTGGCTGGCAGGTGCTGCTGCCGGGTTACTACGGACCATAAGAGAGAAAGGTCGAGAGAAGCAGAGAGAAAGAGAGAGAAAGAGGAAGAGAGACGGACGTACATAGCGGAGAGCCGAAGCGATAGAGAAAGAGAGACAGAGCGAGAGGGCGAGAGAGAGAGAGAGAGATGGCGGGAGGGATGGAGAAAGAGAGGTAAAGAGGGAGAGGATGAAAGGCAGAGGAACCGTACAGAGAACATAGAACAGAGTGACGAGGGAGGAAGGGAGCGAGGGCACAACGGTGACCACAGCCTCGACGCTGATTGGTCGAGTCAAGTTTGTGGCAAGATGGCTGGCTGCTGCCGCTGCCGCTGCTCTACCCTCTGTCTCTCTCCCGCCTCTATCTCCTCTCTCTCGAACCCTCTCCCGTCCTCCCTAACTCCAGCTTCTTCTCCAGTTCACCTCAACCTCTTGCCTCGTCCTCGGGCTCTCTCTCCCATCGTAGTTCCCTTCTACGCGGTCTCTAAGATGCTTTATCTATGTGCCAAATAGATGTATGTACGTGTACACGCCTGTTCGAAACAATGCCGGGCGTGCAACCACCCCCCACGCTACCAGCCACCCTTTCTGCTCCGAGCACCACACACCATCTACCTCTTACCTTCCTCGGATCCCCTAGCCCCCTGTCCTTCTCCTTGCCCTATCATCCCTTGCTTGCTTGCCTGCTTGCTTGGTTGCTTGCTTGCCTGCGTGCTCTCTCGCCTCAACCCTTACTACCCACCGCCCACGCGCCACCCCCAGCCACCCCGGCCGACATCGTCACCGTTTCTGCCAACGTTCTCCGGGCCCCATCCTACCCGACTCTCCTTTTTGTGTCCCTCGTCATCGTCATCTTCCTTCTCCGCGAGTCTATCCTTTCGACCTCCCTCTTCGTTCTTCTACTACCATCCCCACACAATCTCTTCTCACCCGGTCCCTCTTTCTCTCTCTCTCTCTCTCTCTCTCTCTCTGTCTGTCTCTCTTGTTCTCTCTCCTTTCCATCCCTTGTCACTGTCGCGTCCTATTTCCATCGTTCTCCTTCTAGCGCCCAGAGATGCTCGGCCCGCACCCCCTCCTTCCACATCCACCACCCCCTTCTCCTCCCACCCCGTGCCTCGGATACGAGAACACCGAGCCGGCCTCAAAGAGAATGCGATAATACGAAGAACTTCGACTAATGAGTTAATAGTTGGTGCCTCGCGTTACCGTCACACCGCGAGTACTTTATTCGACGTCGCCCCGAGCAACGAGATTATAACGCGACACGCGCGGCTGCCTGCAAGCGAGCAACCGAGCGAACCGGCGACACACTCGCGCTGCCTTCCTCCCCGCTGCCGTCTATGAGCATTTGGACACTTCAGCTTGCACTGGGAAACACGGAACAGACGGTGGCTAATGAAATAAAACGAGATCGTAGTCAAAGATTGCCGATCGGAATTGTACCGTAATTTTTCAGTCCATTAATATTTTGGTTGTCAAGTTGATTGGCAAGTCGAGAAGGACGCTTGGCAGGCCTGATTTTTTAAGTTAATAAATTATGTTATTTTGCAGCAGAGTTTTGCGTTCATTGTCAACTATTTTCTAGTTGGCTAGTTGCAGTAAATTGTTAATAACAATTTAACGTTGTTTTAGATCGAAATGTTGCGACCGAATTGTCACATTCGAAGATTGATTCGTAAAGACCAGGATGATGGACTTTATAAGAAAGCTTTATACAAAAGTCCTGTGGCGGACGAAAAGATTTCTCACGAATGCACGAAATTCTGAGTGAAAGCAGTACTTATAACCCCGTTAATGTCGCTTTTTCTCAACAAAAATAAATTAGAAAAATTTTGAACACTATATTTACAGTTAGATACAATAAATCGCACTACAATTTGCACTTTGTTTAGTGCGTTCAAGAAAGCGATACCATAAAGACAGTGCATTTAATCAGTTAAGGAATTATTTGCTCAAACTTGAAAATTAATTTCCTCATTAATGTATTATATGTTGAAAATTTGATTAGGAACCGCAAAATATAAGAAGATTAATAAAACAATAGATGTCGCACATCTTAGCTTTTCAGTTTATATTCCATTAAGTTCTTTATTTTTAACAGATGACTGAGGTTGCTTGGTGGGCGGTCAAAGTTTTAAGAAACGTAATTTTCTAAGTAGATACGAACCCTTTGAACAGGTGTTTTGAGCACTTGCGTCAGTGATTGGAGCAAGCTCGCTAGTCAGTTGACGCACGCTCTAATCGGCGTCTCGTCGACGATGAATTTTATCTCCGCCATCGGGAAATTCATTTCCAATCGGTGTGGCGGGGGTCGATATTGAAATCGAGGT